GTTGCAGTAGCAGTACGATCATTATTCACCGCACAACTACTACCAAATGGCTGTTTTTGAACACAATGTGTTAGTGATGATGGTGTCTTTGCTTGAGGATCAATGGGGCTGATTAAATTATTATTGACAATATCCTAAAAATTTCTTTAAAGTTACACAATTTATGCATTTTACCCGTTCAAAATATAACTGTTAAATGCTTCGAAAATTTATCGCTAAAATTTTAACTGAAATTGTTTATCCTAATATATCAAACTAACGAGTATTAAAACAATGAGTGATTTGATGGAAAGATTTGAGTGATAGCTAGGAAGTATTTATATATTGTATTAATGTCGAGGTTAAATGAAGATTTTTGAGTTTAAAAGATGAAGATTTTTGACAGACTGAATGCAAATATAAAAAATTGAAAAATGAACTAAAATATTATACTGTACTGATAATAGTTAGATTGTAAAAGGGTAAAATCACGAACAAATATCAAACATTGAGCTAACCCAGAAAAATCATAATTATGGCTCTTGAAATGAAATGTATAAAAATGAAAAATTTTCTCAAAAAATTATTAGCTTAGAATAATTTGTAATCTATTTGAAATTAACGAAATAGAAATAAACGATTAATTTTGCTTGTTACGTATCAATCAGAAATTACTAGTTAAGTGAGGTTGGAAAATAAGACATAGACGAAATTTTAAATGTTTTCATGCTTTAAAATTAATTTGTTAAATCTCAAATTTCATGTTTTTATCATGCCCATCATCATGTTAAAACCAAAGTTATTACTAAGGCTAACTTTTTAAGTCTAGAATCACAGTGATTTTATTGTGTAAAAAATAAGCAATTTTGTGACACCACACAAGCAATATCAAGAAGTTTTGTTAAATATGAAAAAATAATTATCAAACTTTGAAGTATTCCTACAGCCTCAATTAACCTCTTCTGATGAAGATGAAGTTCAGTAATGAATTTATCGATCTTAAATTAGATTATTAAAACTATTAGTAATTTTTAGTAGATCATCAACAAAAAAAAAAGACAAAATCATAGGAATGGGAGATGCTTGATTGAATAGAAAATGTCAATTGGAAGCAGTGAATTTCAATCGAATTAAGCGGCATGCATTGTTTTGCATTTGTAAAATTGTTTTAATACGTTTTTTTGTCTCTTGACGTTTTCCAATAAAAATCCCGACAAAATAACTATTAAATGAAAAAAAAACGCTTCTAAAATAATATTGCAAAATGTGAAAAAAAAAATCAATGGAAATATTTTCAGACGTGAAAAAAAATTAAAATCAAAGGAATTAGCATTTAATTTAAATGGTTTTAATTCTCAACTTAATATATGTTATTAAATATCGGTACTTCATTTTCATTTTCATTTCATTATTTCTTGCATAAAAGTTATTGAAATTGTTGTGCAAATTGGTTTGGATGATTTCATTTCAAAATTAACAATGCGATGCATAATGAAGTTCTTTGAAATTAGCCTATCAAAAAAAAAAATTAAGGGAATAATGTGACTGAATAATTTTTAAGAGAATAAAAAAGAAAAGGGATGTGTTAGAAAGAAAGAAATAATGAACAACAGAATGAAGAAGAATATTTTCCAAATTGAAATTATCAAAATATAGCATACGGAAAAAAGGAATAAAAATTTTAAACTAAAATAATGAAATATTGTAAAAAAATGAAATTTTTTTTTTCGATTAATAAAATATAATTAAAAAAAGAAAAAAAAAATGTGAAGAAAATTTGCAACAAACCTGCTTGTTAAGTTTCAATTCGCGTTTTACGTCCTTCCGTATACTGTAATAATTGGGTATAACAGTTGTTGTATCAAGAATAACTAATGAATTCCGCCGATTTTTTACTCGATTTGTTGTTGTTGTTGTTGGCTCATACTTCTTATAATTTTGATTACTATCTAAGGTTACAGATAATTGAGTATACGGAAGGTCACGTGAATTTTTTCCTGTTTGATCTGCTGCCAATAGTAGCATAGAATCGGTGGAACGTGATGTTATAGCTATAGCTCGTTGTTTTTGCGCTTGAGCTTGCATTTGAAGCTGAAATCAAAAGTTTTTTTGTAAATTATTTCAACTAGAAATTTTAATTTAATAAATGTTGTAAAATTTTTATATTATTATTTTTGATAAGTTTGATCGATTCCATTTGAGATAAACATATTATATTTTATTTGGTTTGACTCTTATTGCCATATCATATTAAATAATATAATTAATTATCAAAATTCCAATTTAAAATCGAATTTTTGAATATAATTAGGATGCATGAAAATAGTTGAAAAAAAAAATGACACAAGAAATTTGATAGCTAAACATATGAATTTTAATTTAAACAATAACTGAAAAAAAAAATGTGAAAAAATCAGCATGAGAAATATGAGAAGAATTTGTCAATTCAAAATGGAGAAAGAGATGAAAGCTTGCAAACAGCCAATTTTCTTTGGATGTCCTTCAATAGGCTTACATAATAATACTCATGATATTGAATTGCTTACCCATAAGTTATTGAATTAAGTTTTTGGGATCAGCAAATTAAAGCGTACGGGCAAGTAATAATACTTAAAATAAAGAGAAGAAAGTGGAAGAAGAGAAGATGGAAATGTAATTTGGACCATATAAGTACCATAGCCATGGTGAAAATGAGCCGTCACATATGTGATTACATTTTTTTTAAATTAAGCTGTTCTAAATTAGCTTCCCTTTAGGCTCTTGAAAAAAAATGAAAAAAGTGAAATAGACAAAGAGACTAACAAAATGATAATGTAAGTGCAACTTTTAGTTCGAAATTATTGAATTTTCATAATGAAAAAAGAAAAGAATTTTAAACGGAAAAAAATTATCAAAGGAAATTATTCATATCCAAGTTCTCTTTCTCTTTCTCTTTCTCTCTCTCTCTCTCTCTCTCTCTCTCTNTCTCTCTCTCTCTCTCTCTCTCTCTCTCTCTCACTACCCCATTGCTTTTTGTTTGTAAATAAAGGCGTTATATTGAGTTTTTATACTTTAATTATTTAATAACTGTTCAAGAAAGA